AATATAAAAAAAACATAAAAAGCCTGTGTTCGCCTCTAGCACTGAGCCAAGTCTTGAAGGAGCTGCACCTCTGTTGCTAGTATTGAGTTTACTTGAGGAAAGATAGTCATCAGGGAACTATATTTGGTTCTTTTTTGTGAGCATGCTTAGAATCTTTTATTTTTTAGGTCTTGTTTTGTTTTGTTTGAATAACCACACTGAGACTTACTATTAATTATAACTGCCAATAACTCAGGTTTGTTACCAGCTAACTCTGACATTTTAAATTAACCCATATTTTTTAATCTATGCTCTGCCATGTGGCTTGGTAGCCTTTCACAGAACAGCAAGTTCATCTCTTTCTCTCCATGGCTCCTCTTGATTCTGAGACTCATCTCTTCCTCTTCATGCTCTCTTCTGTCTGCAAGTCCTGCCTCATCTCTACCTGTCTAACTGTTGCCCATATAGCGTATTTATTAACCCAATCACAGTGGCACATATTTACAGTGTAAAGGAGTGTTCACATCCATACTTAAGAACACTTCAAATATATTAATTCTACTGTACTACTTCAAGGAAATTATAATTCGGTAGAAAAGACCAAGAACATTTGCCGTACAGGTTCCTTCTTTAATACATATTAGAATAATTTATAAAAAGAATGGGGACCAAACCTAATCAAAATTGTTTTCCTGAATTTTGATGAGCCTAAGATCTCAGTCTTCAGAGATATTCAACTAGGAAGACTTTGTAGAATAAAGAATTACATGTACAAAACAGACAAGCCATATACAATCACATATCAACGTAAAGGTTGGCACAGTTTCATTCACAAGGCAAAGAAGACAAGAACCTGTCTCCTTCGCTTCTGTCAGTTGTGTCTCGATTAAGTCTGGACTATCTATCTGTCATCATCAATAGTATAGCTATTTCTCTTAGAATGCAAACTGGTCCATGTAACATACCTGTAAAATGGGAGCTATCTAGTATTTCCTTCCTCGTCAGCATTAAATGAGATAGTCCATGTAAAAGTGTTAGGACAGTCTCAGAGAGACTATTACCATCTCACATAGTCATGAACAGCTAACTACTAGTTAGAGTGCTGAGCACTGTGGTATGATGAAAGGATACATAAATGAAGGAGTTTTATGTTTGTTTCTGTCTTTAGGAATCTTACTGTTTGGTGGAGAAAACATGTATCCCACAATAATTATTATATGAAATATTTTACTAGTCATATCCACAAGACTCCATGTGGTAATACTGTGATACAGTTGTATACGAAATTACTCATCATTTTTCATCCCACATGTGTCTTTAAGGCTTCTTACCTTGAGCACGTCTGGGTTAATGTTTTCCTTGAAGTAGGTTCACTAGAAAGACAAGATGAAAACTCGCATTCTAAACAGAAGAACAGCTGATGTATAAGTGACATCATAACAAACTGAGGCCTACATGTAGGTCCTTTGATCAGTTCAGAAGGGCTAGCTAATAGACATATGTAGATAATGATAGATAATGGCGTTGAACAGAGAGGCAGAGGGCAGAGAAGCATTTTTGACTTTACACATATTTGAACTTGATCTAAGAGTCAAAGGGATCTTATCAAGTCTTAAGTCATTAGAAGAATTTAAACCCCGGTATGGCATAATCAGACATGTCATATATACACATCGTTAAGGCAGGAAGCCAAAATCTCAATCCTGTCAAAAAGGAGGAGACTAAAGCTGTCAAGGTGGTTTGAACCAGGTTCCGGAGAAAAACGCACACCAAGTCTTTGGCTGTATCAGTAAGTGATGCATTACATGATTTGTGAGCAACAATGCTACATTGTAAATGAATTTTTAGATGAATGTTTGCCAGAGATTTGCCTCAAAGCACTAGACAGCATGAATTGAAAGAAAAATAAGTAAAAGGAATACAAATATATAATGTCCCAACAATGCCCTGATAGAAATACATACAGGAGTCGGTTCAGATGTGACTGGGAAGACACAAAAAGAAAAGATTTGCGCCGGGTGGTAGTGGCGCACGCCTTTAATCCCAGCACTCGGGATGTAGAGGCAGGCGGATCTCTGTTAGTTCGAGGCTGGGCTGGACCGACAGCCTCCAAAACAATACAGAGAAACTTTGTCTCGTAAAAACCAAAAAAAAAAAAAAAAAAAAAAAAAGAAAAGATTTGTACCAAGACATGTATCTCACCAGAAACAGACATGAGATAATATATCCAAATATCAACCCTGGGGCTCTGAGAAAATCCACTCCATTCCAGTCTAGCCCTTCACGGTGACCAGGACAGCCCTTTAAAATCAAAGTAGGGCCAACCTTGATCATCTGCACTCCAGTGCCTAGCAATATTTGGCAATGAAGAGCAACCCTAAAAGTGCTCCACAGAGAAGATAAACAGATCAGGGAATGGGAACATGAAAGACTGATGAAGTATGATGATTGGAAAGGTTATCTCTCCTCCCATAAGCTCTGTATCCAGCCAGCGATGTCTTTTTTGGGATGTGCCTACAGGCGGACCCCACTGTGTTATGAACTCTTAAAGGCCAATGAGGTGACACTAGATAATTGCTTCTCCTTTTCCAGTGGCTTGGTCATGGCTGTTCAGTGAACAACCAAATGGGCTGAGGTGTCTACATACAGAGTCTGAGACTAAGCCTGCCATTGGAAGGAAGTAGGTGAGAACGGGTAGGCTAAGTACATAAAGCACATGCCAAACCTCCGTGTTGATACACAAATCTCCACCGTGTCTGATAACTCTGCCTTTGAGCATGGCCTCTCAGAAGATGGGAAGTACATCTGTCAAAATATACAGATAGGATGCATGTTGTTTTAACCAATTCTTAATTTGACTTATAACTTCCAAATGCTTGTATTTATGAGGAGTGGGCCACCATTCTGGTTCTGGCCCTTCAAATGTTGGAAGGTGGCCTTTTTATTAAAATATTTATAGTAATAATATTCACTATAATAACTCCTATGTGTCTAGCATGGAAGTTAAACTGTTTTATGATCGCTTTTTCTGCCGTCAACTCTTGAACAAATAATTTAGATATTTGACCTGTGTCATATTGGCAAGTCAAACAGTTCACCACAGAATTGTCAAGCAGCTTCATTCCTCCTATCCTTCCACTGAAAGACATCGTTTCACAGCCCCATCTTCTTCAACCGAAGGTTTCACTACGATTACAATTGATGTAACATGCATGTGTTTACTCTTGTGGGTGAAAATTTCTTTGCATCAAATATGCATCTTCACATGGGAAGCGTTTCCTCTTTAACATTTCTGCTCATTTCCATCCTGTATCTCAACTATCAGCTGCTTATATTTGAAAGGGAAGCAAAGGCTCTGGTTGCTGGTTTGTGAAAAAACCACAAAAAAATTAGAATTTTGCAATGAGCGCAGAATGCATGCCATAAACCATTTACACCTGTTACTCTGACCAATTATTGGCTCTTAGCAAATCAGCTATAACGCGTGTTGTTTGTCTAAAAATGGTGTAGCTGGCAGTAAGAAAACTTTAAACGGATGGATTCAAGGTGAGCCAGTTCTCACACATGCAGTAAGTGTTAGCTCTCAGAAGAGCAATTACTAGTAAACCCCGGGGTTCACTTCAAATGTCGTATTTCCCTGCCTAGTCTCTACCTTCTGAGGGACACTTCTACTTAGCTTTGGATGTCTTTGGCATTCACAGCTGAAGAAAAGTGGCCTAATTAAAAAAAGTCTGCCTTTAGAGGGGAAATCTCCTATTCCACAAAATGTAACTATTTAGAGATAATACACTCCATTTTTTTGGCTTTTTAGCCTTTGCATCGCATATGTGGGGGCCACGCTAAACTATGCGGCTTTACAGGGTTATAATAATGTCTCAGCGACGCCACGAATGTCAACTGATAACCAGCCATCGTTTTATATTTTTTTAAATTATCCTAGCATCCTGTGTCTGATCAGAAGGTACAGCTGCACATTGTGAATCGTCGCACTTTCCTAACAAGCCTGGCTTAGAAGGTGACACGGGGCCACTTGGTGATTTTGAATTTTCCATTTAGGTTCAATTCCTCTTCAGTTGTGTTTACTTTGAGGCCAGGGACACACACACACACACACACACACACACACACACACACACACACACACACACCCGGGGGGTGTACTGTCTACATTAATGCATGAATATTCTCCACCCACACGTAGTCTAGAACACGGCCTTGCTTATAGCGTTCTGCTTCTCCTCCCTCTCCTCATATTGGCTTATAAGCCTTTTATAAAATAAGAGTTTCGCAGAATAAAGAGCAGATAGAGATCAATTATTTGAGGACCCTGTGGGAAGAAAGGGACCACTACCCAACCTGAGGGCTTTGGAATCTGCAGTTCGTAAAACATTCGGCCTTCAGACAGTTTTTAGAAGTTGGGAGCCCTCCAGGTTTAAGGATCCGAAAAACCAGAAGATTCTGTTTTTAGCCATGAAAATCTGCATTGTTCCACCTGGTTGGGGCATATATTTTCCTTAAACTAGTGAACTTCCCGGCAGGTCCCCCCTCTGCCCAGATGCAACCCAGCTGGCTGGCAGAAGAAAATGACCACCGCTCCTACCCCACTGTTCACCCTGCTGGCAGAGCTCCAGGCCTGGTGCCAAGGTCCTGGCAGTTTTAAGGCTGTTTCCTGGCAGTCATTGGCTTTTCTAGGCCACGTGAATCTGCCCCTGTCTGTCTGGATTTTGCTCTGGGTTTCCTTAGGGCATGCTTTCTAAACGGCACCGGGAGCAGCAGCAAGAGCCTGGGGATTCGGCAAGGCCATGTTATCCGGGAACCTTGGATCCCTGGGCTGTCCCAGGCTCCCCTCTGCCAGCCGCTTGCTTCAGGGCTTCAAAGGGAGGCTCGGCTGCAGTACCCAGCATGCTTTGCTGCGGCTGCCACAGCCCCCTTTTGAAGCACCATGGTAGCCAACAGAGAGGATTCTGTGTTACGTACAGTATGACCCTGGAGGAGCCAGCCAGCTGCTGTGACTCAGCTAAAAACAGGGAACTCGCTGTAAGCAGGAGGGCATAAAGGGGAACGATGGCTGAGGGGGGCAGGGAAACCAGGAAAAGCACCAGCAGCTTATGATGTTCAAAGTCTGTCAGAAGGCTCCCTTCTGAAAGTCTTCTCCATGGACCAAAGGAGGCCCATCTCTGCTACTCCAGAATCTGCTTAGGGTTCGTATTGTTTTATATCTAACGAAAACAAGCAGGGCAAGGATTAGGGGGGGCATACTAAGAAAATACATCTCAATTCTCTCTTGTCTTACTCCAAGTTCCCTGAGGAGTAATTGGATTTTTCAGATACAGTCTGGGACCAAACACACTGATGAGGAAGGAAGGAGGGAAGGAAGGAAGGAAGGAAGGAAGGAAGGAAGGAAGGAAGGAAGGAAGGAAGGAAGGGAATAATTATCTAAGCACCGTCTTTCTTTCTATTTTCTTCACAGAGAGAGGGATTATGGTGGCTCAGTTGTCTATTCCGAAAGCACTTCTGAACTAAAGTGTCAACCGTGTATAAGACAGTACAGAATAAGGGAGACTTAGGTACACTTCATGGTTCCATCTTCTTTGGCTCTGGCCAAGTGGTTGGGGCAAGGATGACCAGTTAAAAGCAGACCTTCAACAACAAGCCCAGTCTTGCTTTGTGAAACATTTGCTAGAGTGCTTTGCTCAGTTCAAAGGTAGAAATTTGGAGGTGGAGGGAATGCAAACTGTAAAAGGTACTTTAGCTAAAGAAAAGTGGGTTTGGGGGTGCTTAGGAACAATCTGGAAATGAGAGGTCATAGAAAGGAGGCAATAAGAAGTAGTTATTAAATGAGCGTTTAAGTGAAGATCTGGGTATATGTACTGTGCCCAGCATCCTTGGATACTAAGGTCGAGACAATACAATGAACTGTGTGATCTGACAGAGAAGAAAAGCAAGTTTGTGTCTTGTCAGCCCATCAGCCTAGACCTGGGCGTGCCCCATGTTGGCAGGGTTTCTCAAGTGATAAAACCCTGAGCAAGTGGTGGCAGCTACCCTCTGGGAGAAAAGCCCGTCTACAGATTTCCCTCTAGCTGTCAGGAAACAGGTCAAACTGACGGGGATAAGCTCAGCCTCAGAAGCTCAAACCAAATGTCAGGCGTGAAGTCCCTATTTTTAGTATTTGTTTTGTCTGCCTCTGGTTGCTGTGTACACCAGCGGGCATGTTTCATTACAGAAAAGCCATTTTGAGATACAATTCACCCATAAACTTAGCTTACTCCAACCGGCTCCTCAAAGGCGCTTAAGAGGTGGCTCCAAGGGGCAAGAATGCTTGGTCTGAAAGAATGAGGACCTGAGGTAAGATCTTCAAAACCCATCCAAAGTCTACACATGGTCAAACGTGTGTGCCTGTAAACCTGGCTCCTGGCTCTGTAGGCATGGTGCAGAGATAAGGGGATCCCTGTCTCAAAGGGTTAAAGGAGAGACTGATGGGATAGGGCATCCAACTTCCTTCTCAGACTTCTGTCTGCCTCTAAATGGGAAACACCTGTGTGTAGGTGTGCACGCATACTCACACACACTCAGGATACTTAGCTGGCTTCCTCGGCAGCAGACTTCTTTGCTGTGAAGATTATGCTATTGATAAAAGACATCTGAAAGACTATGAGGAAACAAGTACTTTTGGTGAAATTTCCAAACTCTCTTTCCACCTAAGAAGGATCTCTTTAGCAGACGTTTGTGTGGATGTTTAAATCAGGATGAAAAAGAACAGTGGTTGAAAACATAGGGACTCGTAGCAGGGCCATGGTGGAGCACGCCTTTAATCCCATCACTTAGGAAGCAGAGACAGGTGGGATCTCTGTGAGTTCAAGGCCAACCTAGTCTACAGAGCCAGTTCCAGGGCAGCCAAAACTGCAAAGTGAAACCCTATCTTGAAAATCCAAACAAATAAACAAACAAAAATAAGGAATCATACTTCAGTTCATTTTAAATGTTCATAAATACATTCACTGAACCAAGTTGAAAGAAAGGGTATTAATCAGACTATCATAGGAAGGTTTTTAAGGAAGACACAGAAATGTCAAATTGAGAATTTTTACTGGGTGCCATTCTTCTAAATACCCAGCATAATGATATTGACTTGGGAACAAGAGCGCCATGACAAGAAGCAAAAGTGTGGATGAAAGGTCATATGACATGGCTAGAAGCCAGATCAGCTATGGACCTAGGATACCAGAAGACTTTGGGTTGACTGGAGTTCAGTACCTGACCACAGGACTTTGGATCCTGATTCATTCCAAGATTCATTTGCTCATTCTGTTAGTCATCAGCTGATCCTAGATCTTGTGTCTGTCTGTGCCCTTACAGGAAGCTTCTATTCTAAGTAATTCTCTTGGAAGCTTTAGAACTCTTGACTGAGTTGAGACGGCCCCTCAAAATTATGTTCAACCTGTGATCATGACTTTGGATACAAATAGATCTTCACAGACGTCAGTGAAATTTAAAATCCTTTTGGGTTAGTTGAGGTGGCCTTACATCCACTGACAAGTATTCTTGGGAGAGAGGAACGTGTCCAGAAATACACAGAAGGTGAAAGCTAGGTGAAAACTAAGACACACACTGCATCCAGGCACCCATAAGCCAAAGAACACTAAGGCCTGCCAACAACCACCAGAACCCAGGACAGTCAGGGAACAGGCTCTTCCCCAGAGCTTCTGAGGAGAAGCAGGGCCTGCTAATACTTTGATTTCAGACTTAGCATTTTGAGTTAAGTTTCCCTTTGTTTCTGCCACACATTTAGCGGTAATCTGTAAGACAAACCCTAGAAAACTAAGACAGGTCTTTATCAGCTGTGTGCTAACTTCATCACTAACTGTGCTAAAGACACATAAAATGGAGTAACATACAAGTGTTTTAGTTAGCCCTACTAGCACACATAACTATCAACATAACTATGTTCATTTTCAAAATACTCATAAGCCAGTTGGAACTTAAAAACTTAAATCTTGTATCAATGGAGCAACTGTTAATGTGTAGTTACAGGGCAGTAAAGACAACAGTTCCCTGCCTAAGGATGTTTATAATCCAACTGTGTGCACACATGACCAGAACTGCAAGGGAGATGGAAATTGGACTTTGAAGGATAGTAACACACTAGACAAAAGTAGTTCTTTGCAACGTCTATGAGTCAAAAGAACATTTATTTTCCTGTGGCGTTTTTCTAAGAAGGTCGCAGAGTGATTGGAGTATTTTGAGGTTGAGGAGAGGGATGTGAAACCATGTCATGTGACTACATGCATGAGGCTGCAGTTCCTCCTTCCCAGGAAGTAAGGATCTCAGGTAGATACTACATAGTATTCATTAAATCACAGATACATTTCCCTGATGCCGCACATTGCAGAGAGGGTTTTTCAGTGAGTACCAACACTCCTCTTTGTGGGTCTCTTGATCAGTATAGACAGCTCTGTTGGGAAATTCAGAGCTCCCGAGGGTTTTGGTAAGACTTTGAACTGGTGCTATTTCCTTGACTCTCACTTACCGGTGTTCTGTATCCTTGACTCTCACTTACCGGTATCTCTTCCAAGGTGCTGGCTGCTGTGCAGCCTCCAACACTAGCATTGGAAAGGACCCATCAGCACGATGGGGGAAGCCCCCGCTGCAACATGGGAAGTTTGCTCTTTTCACAGCCAGCACTGCTGTTGCTTTTGCCTGCTGGCTTACAGGAACTGGCTTTCACATTTCCTAATTTAGACCCTAGCAGTATGGAGACTTACTTGATGCATGTATATTTTCTGTCTGAGGCGAGCAGCGTTTGTCGTTGCAGAAATGCGGATGGCTGCCAGGTGCTTTGTGAGCAGAAGCAGTCCGCAGGCATTTCACGTTGGAGCTGGAGCTCTGTGCATGGGGAAATCCAGAGCTTGCCTATGACTCAGCTGGGACTGATCCCCTTCTTGGAAGAAATCTAATTAGAAGCCAGGATACTCAGGCTATAGTAATTATTCTCATTCCCAAGCAGTGGAGGTGACTAACCTTTCTACTTGTCCCGAATGTTTGAAGGGGCACCCGTTCATCAGAGTTGCCAATCCATCTAGCCAGTACTAGCACAGGGTAACTGATGCTGTAGCTACATATGTCCTGAGCAAAATACTGCAACACAATTGTAAAACCATTAACAGCATCAATACCATTACTAGAACTTAGAGTTATGTTTTATTTATTTACATAATGTGTACATATGTGTGTGTATGTGCATGCATAAGGCACTCTGTGCCTGAGGAGGTCAGAGGACAACTTGGTTTTCCTTTCACTCCTGTGTCTTCAGGGATTCAACTCATGGGGTCAGTCTTGATGGCAGGCACCTTTACCCCCTGAGTCATGTGACCAGCCCCAATCTCACTTGAACAGATAAAGCGAAAGCAAAGAGAGACTAAATAACTTCAAACGTCTTAGGTCACATTTGTAGAAGCAAAATGAAACCGGTCACTTATTTATGGGAAGACCGAAACTTCAGGTAACGTCCACCCTCACCTTCCTCCTATAGAAGACCAAAGCACACAAGGGGCAAGCGTCTACACGCCAGGTTGTCAGTTGGGCTTGGGTTTCCAAGAGAGCTCTCCATTTCTGATAAGGATATTTAATAACAGGGCAAGCTTGGCTAGATTTAGTAATCAACCTTCACAGCAGCTGGTGACAGGTGCTAAGTCCACCAAAACGGAATCTCGGTAGGGCAGGGGCAGCATCCTCTGCCGGCACTCAAGTGGCAGAACCTGAGTTCAAAGACCTTGTAACTCACACTCAGGGTGTTAAGGCTGAACTATCCAAAATCTCTTAGGGAGCGTCGCCTTTATCAGCTTCCAGAATCCAAGGAGTACACAGTTCTCTCTAAACCCCCCAAGAGGGTGTCTATGTGATTTCAGAGGTTTTATTTCGCAGGTCCAAATAGCTTGACCTTGAAGCTCCTCTAGGTGTTGAACATAATTATGCATCTTCACACAGCCCTACAGTTCTTGCCTGCGCTCCGCTATTCTCCTGCCTCCTACCTCCCTTTCCCTTTCTCCCTGAAGTCCATGATGAAGAGCAGACCCTGGGCAATAGCTTCATTTGGACATGTGTGCCGCTGCTCCTTGCAACTAGCAGTAAACAAGAAAAGAGGAAGAGAGAGGAAAACTTGTTAGCACCATGCTGTATCTAAACAAGCAATCCCAGATGGCAT